CATTTCTCCATTATTAATTTGCAGCAATGAAATTTGTTCAAATCTAATTTGATTTGATATCATGATGAATTCAAATATACGAAAGTGCAACTACCACTTTGAATACTGCAAAAGCTTAGTTTATGCCAAATACCAACGCAATACAGATATTAAATATATAATAGTTAATACAATCTACTCTGATATTTAAAATTTAGAAAATGGCTACTTTGACGTGTTCACAGTTATATGGGGACCTTTAAGTATTAAATAAGAAAGCTTGTCGTGGGAGAGGGTTGTTACAAACCATAGCACTCTTTGTTAAGATTTCTGTTAAGAGAAAAAGAACTTTTCAATTGTTTACCATTATATTATTTTTACTTATAAAGGGGTATGAGGTAACTTTCGTGTACTTACCCCACGAAACTTTAAGTATACTTGAATGCCCTCTGATTTTTCCCAATATATTTTAACGCTAATACATATTTACTAATACTACCACATACAAAATTAAAAAATATACAAATTCATCGAAATTGTTATATTGCATCAGTGATTAGGTATATACAATACATATTATACAAAGATAAGGCAATAGTGACGGAGACGGAATAAATCATAGTATTTTCTCAACCTGAGTAATATTAAGTATAAATTTAAAATTAAAGTGAATAAAATATGCCATTACTAACTTGACCCGTGTGTACATTACAGAAATATGACTTTTTCATAGTAAAGTTTAATTATAACGGTTATGTAAAGAAATATGAAACTGATTGATATTTTTGAAATGATGAAACATACGAGTCAAATGTTTTAGAGCGTAAGAGCATGGTAATTACTAACACGCTGTAACTGCATCGACAAAGTCGCAACTTCTCATAAATAAAATTAGAGAAAGGTCTTTGCATAAGGGTTACTGCAAATTATGATTTAACTCCAAAAAAGCGATGCTATTTCTTTTAGCAATATCCTGTTTTATGTTATTATATGTATATGAAGGGAAAAAAACAACTAGAATTTATTAATATTTTATGCATACCATAGGTATGTCCTATGGTGTGTGATTTGATTGAAATTTGAAGGAACATTTCCATAAAAATTAGGTACATTTTATGTACTTTTTGACTCGCCGGAATCTGGAATAATTCGCGAATCATAGTTATATTTTATTGAAATAATGCACTAGATAAAATAAAGTTAATCGTAAGACAAGAAAGAGCAAAAAGATTAATATGCATTCAGTGAGAATGATGTTAATAAAACATTATAAAAATAGAAAAAATGTACAAGTTAAAACAGTTTGGACGCGTGGAAATTATGAATGTGATATTGCCGATACACTTTCCACGTAAACATACACCGAATATGAAGTATGCTCAACTGCAAAGTTTAATAACAAGTGACCAGCATATAAGTACTTTTCTCCATAAGGTAAACAGGCGTGGGTTGGTTTATATGTATGGGATTTGACGTGGCAGGTCGTGGGTTCAATTCCCACACGGCATGAATAATTCCTTCAAATGAATTGTTCTGAATCTGGGTGTTTACTTATGTGCAGTCCTAACAACACAGGATAAAATTATCCCACGCCGAGAATATTTTTTTAAAGAATGCAGTGGGTTAAATGATGTAGTAACGACTGTGGTAGAACCACGCAACAATCTTCACAGTTGCACGAATGGGCAGCTTCGTCCGGGTTAGTACCACGACCTCACAGAAGATCCGGTAAAGTAGAAGTGTACACTTCTGCGTTTCGACTGGTGAGTGAGGTAGCCGGGGCCCATTTTAAGGTGACAACTCATTTCCAACCCTACGGGTGTTGCAAAAGTCTATTGGCGGCGGTTATCACTTAATGTCAGGTAAGCCGCCAGCTCATTTGCCACATTATCACATAAAAACGTATGCATCTATGGATGTGTGTATAAATGTGAAATTTGACACCCACACAATTCAACTAATGAAATAAAATACAATGAATTGCTGATGATCTACTTATAAATGCATATCGTAAATAATCAAGCATGTGGGAAGTATGCTATCAGTTACAGTGTATAAACAGGTTTTGGATTGCCTGCACCCTTAGCATAAAAATATCATTTTCTTAATAAATTTCTTAACTTTGAATTAGTAATGCTACTACTTTTACACTAAAAATGATATTTTGTCATACACATATTTTTCTATATAGCCATTAAATGATTTCAATTTAAAACATATTATGGTAAATAAAACTGCATATGTTGCAAAGCAAAATATGTATGTAATATTAAATTAAATTAATGTTAAAAATACTTTTACTACAAATAAGAAACATAAAACCTTTAAAAAATGTTATGTTTTTAATTTTAATATTATTTTAAGCAGGTCAGAAAAACATAATTATCTTTATTAAAGAATTTAGATCAATAACAAAATGCTCATCAAATTTTTTTTTAGTAGTTAAATAGTTTTTAAAGTTTGCAGTCGGTTTGGTATGAGGTTTATTGTATAATTATAAATGTTATCCCAGAAGGAACCGGGTCACATTGATGACCATATCATATTTCTGACATGTAAAAGACCTAAATTATGAATGATCTTGAGCAATACATCCACAACAAGGGTTAGCAATGTGATGTTCAAGGGCAATAGTTTTAAAATGCCAGCATTCAAGGTGGCAATATAAATTATGTACCATATTGAAGACACACATAACTGAAGTTTGATTTAGCCAACTGAAGTAAGTTGTGTATATCCAAATATATTTTTTTTTTAATAATGTATGTTTTTATAAATTTATTTACATTTACTTTTGGGTTAAATGCAGACTACTAAGGGGGATGCGGACCCCTGGTCTACAACTACATTGGTAGCAGTGAACTATAGAGAAATGACTAAAGAATCAGTTGGCTCTTATTTTAACAGTAATATTTTTCTACTTCAGAGGAAATTTAAAGAATACCCGCCGCAGCCTACTGTGATATTGTGAAGTGCTTTAACTTGACTATACTATTTTGTCAATGATGCCAATGTAATATGAATGCAAAATCAATATATAAAAATAACATTTAATATAGAGTATATATGAGGTTATTTGATCCTACACTACACTAGTTTTGTATTATCTAAAGAAAAAAAATGTTGTTCAAACAATTACGTCGAATATTCTATGAGCATGCAGAAAAGCATTGCGAAATAAAATGCATAATAAACAATTTCTAATCTTTGGTTTTGTAAGTTGATATTAAAAATAAAACTAAGAATAAATGAAACATTTGTTAAGGCTATGTGCATTTAACGAAATTAAAATGTATTTCTAATGAAAATATAAAAGACAACTGATTTATTTTATTTATATAAAATTTAAGATAAACTATTTATTTACAACAATTTAAATACGTATTTACATAAATTTCTAAATACACAACATTTAATTAGTTCAACAATTAAGTTTTAAATTGCATACAAATTTGTAAAGAAATTATTTACCTTGCTTAAAATTTGCAGTTCTTCGAATAGGAACAAGCTCTTACGACTTGTTAAAAATATGATTAGAGAAAAATATGATTTAAGTTAATAGCAACTTAATGTTTTAAAATTTTGACGGTATTATGCGTTTTCCCATTGACAATAATTCCTCATAATGATTCTGCGCATTTAAAACGTGAAATCGAAGAGTTAACGTAAATAGCAATAAAGCAATAAAAATGATGAAGCTTTTAAATTTGCATTCACCATACATACAAATATGCTTAAAGTATTCCACAGCTAAAATACTAAACAAACAGCAATTGGAAAATAAAATTTGGAATTATAACATTGTAATAATAAAATATTACGACTAAGGGTTTTTGTAGTAACTCTTTACAACTTTATATGTAACTCAAAACTGCCGCTAGTCAAAACAAAGTAGAAAAGGAAACAATTTGAAGCGATACCAGTATTTAGGTACTGCCCCATATTCGCAAGTATCAACAACACGTGATTATAAACTGCTACGCACTTAGCTGCACCCTAGCAGTGCCAAACTACAACAGAACACGAGACAAATTATGAAACACGACAACAGTATTTTAGTACAACATAACTTTAAAAAATTGGAATCCAGAAGTATGTAAACTTAGGTATTATTTCAAGTGACATAATACTGATGATTTACTTCATTTAGCTATATTATATTAAATTGTACAGAATAGTGAGATAGATAGATATGTGTGCGAGTGTTTGTGTGTTTATAAACAAATAATATTATTCGTAAAAGTTATTATGATTTTGGCGTTTTACAACGAACTTTCAAAACCTATTTATCTTTATATCATAAAGGGTTAGTAACCGAATTGCCATAGACACCCTGTTGACCTAAAATATTTATTTATTTACATAGTATATAAATGCGATAAATGTTAAATTTGAAACTGTATCGAAGATGGCCCCAATAGTATTGCATAACTGTCTGGGAACTTGTCGGTATACAAAGTGGCACACACGCAAGAAGTACAAAAAGTGAAAAAAAAAAAAAGGAATTATATCTGTGCCAGTAGATTTATCTATATATCGTATCGTAAAATATTTCTAAAACACTACGGATACAATAATTTGGCGGCAAACGGGGGCTTCGTTACTACATCAAACACGTTATCATCTTGACAAGAACGAACTTAATATTATGCATATTATTAAAGATATCGCGGCTATAATAGCACCTATCAAACTGAGATGTTGAAGAGAGATTAAGATCAAATTGGCCAGAGGCTCTTCGTTCTCCGGGGCGTAATATAAATGAGTACATATTAAATCCACACTTATTAATAGTTATTTGATAAACATTTATACTTTTTATGTCAATAGAATAATCTTTTTTGCTAAAATAGGATACGCTATACATTCATTTATTATTGCGCTCGGAAAGCGGCGTCGCGGGCCGCCGGGGAAGACACGCGTCGAGCGCTTCAGTTCAAACGGCGATACAAGGTACGGGGAGGGGCAGCAACCTCTGGCGTCCGTTGGGGGCGGCATTCCACAGAGTCGCCGTTAGGTTAGCACAGGCCGTGCAGGCGACGGGCGGAGGGCGCGGGCCTGGCGGCCGCGAGCAGCCGCAGCAGCGGGCGGCCGCAGAGCGCGACCAGCCCGCCGCCGGCCCAGCGTGCGGCCGCCGCCTCCTCCACCTCCGCTATGCGGTTCAGCGAGCGCGACTCGCGCAGGCGGCTCTCCTTGCGGGCCGCGCGCCGGCGTCGGCCGCCAGCGGAGCCGCCGCGCGCGTCGCCAGCGGAGCCCGCGCCGCCGGTGCCGCCCGTCCCCTGGCGGCGCGCGCCGCGGGCGCCCGGCGCGCCGCCGCGCCCCTGGCTGTCGCTCGAGGCGTCGGGCGAGTCGCGGCGCGCCCGCTCGAAGGGCGCGTCGCTCTGCTCGGCGGCGCGCTTTTTCTTCTCAGAGTCGTCGTCAGAGAGGTCCGAAGAGGAACACGAGCCGGCCCTCGGTCGTCGCCGGCGGCACTCGAGCCGCTGGCGGCGCGCGGGGGGCGGGGCGGGGCGGGGGGGCGCGCGGCGGCGCCGGCGTCGGCGCCCCGCCCGTCGCGCTGGCCCGACGCGTCTCCGATACGCGCACCGACGCGCCGTCGTCCAGATTCACCTGTTAACACATTGCTCGTGTTAAATAGATGGGTTTCTTTAGGTTTGACTTCATATAATCCCTTTAGTAGTGGCTAAGATTATCCGTTCCGATTTTTAAGGTAGTAGGTAAAACGGTATCGCAATTTAGTTACTGATTCTGATGTATGACTTGTGTTGAATGCAGAAGTTGTTTAAATTTTATTCATCACAGAACTACATTTTGTAATCAAAAGTTGTGTTTATGAGTACAATCGATTACCTTGGATCTTTGGTATGAAATTAATAATAAAATATTCAAGTTTAAAATCATTTTATTATCAATCTTTACCATGTGTTCACAATTTTTACAATCAAAATATTTATAATGAATGTCCCAAGTAAGTTTTATGCTAAAATATATTTGGTTCCAAAAATTACGCATTATTTTGTCATAAGCATACATAATGAAAAATCATATCGTACCCATAGTAGTGGTAACATTGTTATTCAATTGTTATTGTTCCATTTTACCTCAAACAGGTGAAATAGTTACTTTATTTTTAAAAAGAAAATAAATTAAGATTTACGATATTTTTAATTACAAAACAGAATGAGAACACCATATTTACTATTAAAGTGATGACACAAGTATTACAGAGATAGTTTTATTCATGACCATGTCCAAACACTGCACATGATCAGTATAACAGGGTTTTATAGAATGAAAGTATAAAAAAATAATACATTCTCAGGAACACAGCTTTTTTTATACCTCTTGTTTCTTGCTCACATATTTTAACAAATTTAGTACAGCTTATATTCAATGAGTTCTTTCTAATTAGTACACCTAATATTTATGTAGTTCATGTTTCCATTACTGTATTTAGGATCTAACAAAGAAATATATTTCTCACATAATATATTTGAATGAAATTAAGCATGTAAACTAAACCAAGCATGTGTAATCAATATAGACAATAAAAATATAATATGGTACCTTTTTATAAAATGTTTACTATAAAAGATCAATTCCTGTTTTATAGTTTATATTAATTTTGTATTTTGTAAATAGGAATACATACAAAAGAGGTATAATTAGAATAGTAATAACTTCTCAAGAATAGAACTTAGCCTATTTTTGGTATATCAAGCTTGTTAAATTTAATCAAAATTAAACTTACAATTATGTATAGGTATTATACCTACATTCAATAACTTAGATAAGATTTGCCAACACAAAAAACAAACTTTCATACATTATCAAGAGACACTATATAAAATAGAATCTTTTTGAACTAAGATGTTCATAGATTTTATTAGACAGGACTCACATTTTATATGTATTTTGTCATATGTACAATGACAACTCATTATAAATATTATATACACCCTACTATATAATTATTGAAATCTTTTAATCTATAGGCTAAATTTTATATAAATTGCACCAATATGATTTTACAAATACAGTTATTTGTATACTTATGGTTGACCAGGAGTCTAAATTCGATCATAGTTCTTTGTCTCCCAAACTCATTCAGTTACACTGACCTTTTAAAAAATAAATTCTGTGAATACAGACATAAATTTGACATTGACAGTACAAATGTAAGCAATAAATATGGTATTTTATTTTAAGTTATGCATTCTTATATTATAAACAAATTAGAGTCTAATGTACCTCTCCAAATAAAATTAAACTATATATGCCAAATATAATACTCCTTATTGGGGACTCTGTCTTATTTTATTAAACTGCCATTATTTCACTTTTGCACATTTTCACAGACAGTATGTGCTAATGTGAGTGTAACTGTGGCATAAATTAAAAAAATCTTTAAACTTGTTAGTTAATAGTTAGCCACATAAAAAATGCACTTAGACTAAACAAACAGGCAAAGTGGAGTTACTTTATTGGTATGCATATATCTTTAGTAGAAGCAGTAAGCATGAAGTAAGACCAAATCGTTGTGTGCGTTGATACTGTAATTAAAAAAGAAACAACTTCTAAATTATAAAATTATCACCACTTATTACCCAATAAATTATTGTTAACCTTTAAATTATCCATATATCTTACATATCAAAAAGAAGCAACCAAAAAATTATTCATATAAGACAATATTTTACTTAATGTGTATTAAATACAGTTATTCGCCAGTTCGGAAGATTTTTTGTCGTACATAATATAGTATTTGTATTTTCTCTGTAAGTGATTTGGTGTAAATCTTTTGAGATAATAAATGTCTTAAACCTAAATAAAAGTTCATTTTATAATTAACGAAAAACAAAACCAACATCAAATATCTCGTTTTGTATTTCATAATTGATTTTCAGGAGTTCCTCTAAGTATCTCTGGAGTCCATGAATCCATACCAATTAAATTAATATGGGACCACATGGGAAGCACCAGCTTTCAAATAAAAAAAGAATCATCTAAAGCGATCCACTCAGTCAAAAGTTCTGAGGTGACAAACATAAATAGTCAAATTGAGAACCTCCTCCTTTTTTGAAGTCGGTTGAAAACCAACATTTATTAGCTGTTAAAAGAATAGATTATGACATGGAATATGAGGAGGTATAGGAATGATTAACCTTTATTCAACATAGCAGCATTACACTTACTTAATTAAGTTGTATAATATTATTACCAGTTCAAACTAAGATTAAACTTTCCAGCAAAAACACTAATAAACAAAATTACAAATGTACAATAACTCTCACAATTCCATTTTCATATTTTTAATATTCGGCAGAAGTTATACAAATTTATCGTGTTTAGAAGTATTTTTTCATATTTTTTTTCACAACTGAAAAAGGGTGAAGGCATAAAAGAATATGAAATAAGTGGAAAACCGTTACAACTGGAGGATACAGATAAGACAGCTCAACGCTACTTACATGTACACTGCTTTTGAGCTCATGTATTTTTTTTCACTCATTAAAAAATATTTTCTTTACTTTTAGATAACATTATCCTGTGTTTTAACGACCTTTTATAAACAAATTTCACGCGGACAAACACCGGGATGCAAATCAACCGTCTGTGGGTCACACAAATAGTTGTTCAATGTGGGAATTAAACCCACGATCCCGAAGCCGGAGCCAATACCTTGACAACTGCGTTACCGAGTCATCGATTTTAATAAAGATTTGGTATCGATACTTTGATGATGAACCGGGGCACATACCTTAGTGAGGTTATCGGCGAGTTGAGCTGGCCTTGCGAGGTGCAGGCGACCTTCGGACCTGGAGCCACGCCTGGCATCCGCCGCTCGGGCCGTAACCGCACCCGCCACAGCCGTGTCTTCGTCATCCTCCTCCTCTCTGACGATGCTGCACTTACGAGAGCGCTGTAAACACAATCGATTCGTCACGAGCAAAGAAAAAAAATTACCAGTTATAGTATAGAAAAGTAAGTCTCTAGTCTGCCACCAGTGGCCATTGAATAAAAATTAATATACTGCCACGCCGAACAAGAAATAACGGTACTCAATAGATTTTTATGTGGTGAGGTTCAAAGTTAGGCACAGATCCAACACAGAGCACCGAAAGTCCATGTGGTCTTGTCAGAGTAGACAGACCCCTAGAGTGAATATAAAAATGTGGAGACAGAAGCTCGCGCCGCAGATCGTGAGTGGAGCGACACACAGGGGCGACATGTGAGTTTAGGCGAGAGCGCATGAAACGGTCAAATTTAAAATGTGCCCAATGATTTGAAATAATTGGTTATATCTTATTCTAATTAATCAAATTTGCAATAAGTAACATATTTGAAAGATTTATGATTTGTGGAATTTGACTTTCTTTGTTAAAAAAATTATATGTTATAAGTACACTAATTTCTCATATATTATTTCATGATCATTGATTTATTTATTAAGTTGGGAAGTTGTTATTGGGATTTTAACTACATTATGAATAGCATTCATTTATATGTCAAGTGGTGTCATATTAAAATCTTCAAAATTGAACTTTGAAAGAGAATAATATATTTTAGTGAATTTTAGTGAACCACACAAGTTTTAATAGAAGTACAGTATTACTACAGAATTACTTTGTTATTATTACTATTTTAAAACTAACATGTAGATTAGCATGTTGCAAAGTATCAGAATTTATAAAAGGTTAATGAGTACCGGAGGAACGTCTTGTGGCGTGCGTGGTGCGGCAGCCAGTTGTGGCGGTGCAAGAAGCGCTCGACCTCGCGAAGCTCCAAGAGGAACCCCCAAAGCTTCGGGTCTTCGCGCGGCGCGGGCAGCTTGTCTAAAACAGGAACACAATATCTTCATATTTGTAACATAAGTTGTGATTTCGAAAGTAATCTTTTCAACAATCATTATTTCTTCATGACTCTTTCATCTTGATGATTCCGTTGCGCAGTTTCCTATCTAGGTGTTTGTCCACATGAAATTTATGTATGTGAAACATATTTACAATACAAGGATAACGTTATCCTGGAGTAAAAGGGTACTGTTTTCGAAAGGAAAACTACAATCAATCTTACTTGTTGCCATGGTTTATGGGTTTTCTACTCAACCACTGCTACGCAAAATACATTTCTAATCAGCTTTTTATATTAATTGACAGCAAATCTACTTACACAGTGCTTAATTAAATATGAGCACTAAGGTTGATAATCCATACCCACCACTACCTTTGCTAGGTAACAAAACCGAACCTTTGATTATAGATCGCGGGTAAGCAACCTACTAGCTGTCAAAAATTAGTTTTCTCACTTTTTTCAATATTAATATACAAACATCACTGTTTCAATTTGTGACCAATTGATCTAGTTATGCTGTCATAAAATGGCTGTATTACAATCAATTTTCTACACTAGGAGAGTTAAAAAAGAAATGTGTTAACATAATTTGATAACATAGATTATTTTTTTATCATTCATATAGCTTATGAAATACACTGCTGTCCAAAAGTTACAGACCAAAGTTGTATTACATATAGATATTACAAAACATATCTAACAACCTGGTTATTCTATTATTAATATGGAATATATAAAAAAAAATGTGCTGAAAAATAAAATGGCCAAAAGTCCAGATCTTAAACAGATTGAACATTTAGGGGAATAGCTTTACAATAGTGCTCTAAATAATAATATCTCTTAACCACAGACTCAAGAAAACATGTGGAAGGATTAACATGAAAGTTGGAATAATAATAATACACAAGTGATGACAATCAATTGAATATTTGTATGCTGTCATTAAGAGTAAGGGAGGATTTTTGTTTTGAAGTCTGTTACTAAACTTAGTAGCTCAACTACATTGATTTTTTCCAAATTTTTGGCCAGCAGTTACATGTATAAAGAGATATTCAGAAGCCACAATAACTTATAGAGAATGATCAATCTATATATTATACACAATGTAATAGAACAATTTTGTTGAACCATAAAACAATTACTACATTTTTACTATTTTTTATACATTTTATAACAATTATTACATATGAAAACCTTATGTTTTTGGATATTACTATTTAACCATGAAAAATTAAGATTTATATGTTAATTAATAAATAGCACTTATAAAATTTTGTATTGATTTATATACAGTAGATTAAGAAATACAACATACCTCTTTGATCTTAACTTTCTTTCCGCCAGTAAGTAATATGTGGCAGTTATATGATTATATTCATTTTTTTCTAATGCTTCCAGTATGTGTTCTTTCGAAGCAATTGAACCATTTACCATTCTCTGCAGTATAGCTGAATGGTCATCCTCTGATAGCTGTTCTTTTGTCACAAGAGGAGTATCAAAATCTTCTACTGCTATTCCCTCTCCCGCTGTTACCCATGGATCTGTAGCTATCTCTGATAAAGTAGCCCGCTTTTCTGGCTCCCTGACTAGCATTCTTCCTATCAGCCTTGAGAAATTTATTAAAAAAACAATGTGTTTAAAGAAAACATTGTTTACTTTATTAAAGTTATAGATTAAAGTCTAAAGTTATAAGGAACATACCTTTTACAAGAGTTTGATATATGTGGTGGAATATTATATTTACAATCCATAATCATTGTAAGTGTTTCACTGTCATTAGCTTCTTGAAATGGTGCCTGACCGCAAACTAACATATACAAAATTACACCTAAAGACCATACATCAACTGCAGGGGCATCATAAGAGTCACCTAATAAAATTTCAGGAGCTGAATAAGCTAAAGATCCACATGAAGTCTCTAATTTTTGTCCGGGACAGTACTTGTTACTAAAACCAAAATCAGTCAATTTCACTACACCTAACTTTTCAAAAAACACTACATTTTCAGGTTTCAAGTCACGATGGACAACATGTAACCTGAAATATGAAAAGTAAATTTTTAATAGTGTATTCATTGAATAGAGTATACAAAAGAATGTTCTGTAAGTACCTATGGCAATATGAGATTGCTCGTACAATTTGTCGAAAATAATCACGAGCAAGAGATTCTGAGAGACCAGAGTCATGTCTCATTATGTAATCATACAAATCACCTCCATCACCTAACTCTAATATAAGATAAAGCTTAGTCTGTGTATCAATTACTTCATATAATCGCACAACATTTGGATGTTGAACCAATTTCATGCATCGAACCTATGGACAAAAGACTTAAAATTAAAATAAGCTCAAAAATTACCAAGGTTTTCAATAGATAGATAGAATGAAGGACATATTAATGATGTTAGCAATTAATTGCAAGTTAATTCATTTTCTAGCATGTTATAGATTAAAAAAATCTTCTATAAGCCTTTGAAGTGTAAATATAATAAAATTTTAATATTTTACAGATAAGTTCCTTAACATTTTATTTATTACTTAACATTCAATATAAAACCATAAGATGAAACTAGTTACCTCTTGAAATAAATGGGATTTTGAAACTTCATCCAGTTTACTTTTGTCAATAACTTTCACAGCAACTTTTTCGCCTGTGAAAACATGTCTAGCTAGTTTTACAACAGCAAAATGTCCTGAACCTAGTGTATCAAGTAAATCATATAAGCCAGCTATTTTGGCATCGTAAGGTGGTCCTCCTGCTGCCATTGTAGTTCCTACTCCAGGTCCACAATTATTCATTGTACCTCTAAAACAAAATATGCTTTAATGAATATTGTAAAAATGTATTGGATGTATAAAATTTCAAAATACAATAAATGAATATTAACATTCTAACACAGATTTTATAATTAGATAAATATAGATATTTAAAAGGTGGAGAAGTTATGGCACATAAGTATAATCGTTTGTTTTTTAGAATTAGACCAGCTTCAGTAAAAATTTTGGAGGAACATCTACCAAAGAATAAACATATGAAATTAATGTGAAGAAAAACTTACATTGAAGCAATTTATAAATTCAAAAGTTACTATACACAAGCACTGTAATAAAATGTAGTCAAGTCAAGACGATACATAGAAGTCACTGCTTCACAAACAAGTCGCTTAAAATAAATAATAATAAATATAGTAAACAGGGTGATAACATTGCATTATTTTAGTTAGAAAATTAAAAATATCGAACGAAAAATAGATGTTCCAAGAGCCTCAATTTCGCCATTTCTCAAAATACGTTCGGAAACCTGACAGGATACTTTTACAAGAAAACTTTTTTACTTTGAAATAAATGCATTTCATAACAAAAAGACTATTTATTTCCTAGAGTTTAAAGTCACAAATTAATTGATTACTAAACTCTTGCTTTCAATAACAATAACAAATATTATTTCTAAACGTTTATGTCAATCAAAAAGATTAAAAACCTATTTCGTTATCCGACATGTACTAATTGAAATATCCTTACTAATATTATAGAGGCGAAAGTTTGTATGTATGAATTGATTTTTGTTTTTCTTTCACACAAAAACTACTGAATAGATCTTAATGAAACTTAACAACCTTATACATCAGAATAACACATATGCTATAAATTATAAAGACATCGTGTGAATTGTCCAAAATATAGGTAAAAACAAGTCAACTAAGTAGGAAAAATTCAGCAATCTGCGAGATATTCTGGTGTATAATAAAACTCTTTATTAATTCCTTTTGGCCTCGCGGGTGAAGCCGCGGATAACAGCTAGTTAAGTATATATTTAACTAGCTGTTATCCGCTAGTTAAGTATATATGTATATGGAGTACTGAGTAGTAAGTAAGTAACTTTGTAAGTAAATCGATGATCGACCTTTTTTCTAAATTAAGAGGTTATAATTTTTTTCCCTTTAATAGATATTAGTTATTTAGATCATTACAAAGATCTGTGTGACCAATTCAGAGAGCTTAATAATCCTTTTGGAAACTTAAATAACATTTGGAAAAGCCATTTAACAGCTGATTAGTTCACTTCTACGTCGATCAGTGTTTCCGAAACCGGGCATAAGTGTCTGGCAATGAATAACGTGATTTTTAATAATATTTTGAAGGTAATGCCAAAAAATTGCACTTTATTATTTGACGAATTTAGATCGGTATTTTACATACCTCTAGTATCTGCCAAAGCCAGTGTAACCCAAACTTCATAATGGTACATCGTTCTTACCTATGTTGGGAGCATGCGTTTACAAACTTTCAGGTTTTATAAAATGACGAACCCCAGGGTTCACGGGCTCTTAGACTATATTAGGTAAACAAGGAATTTCGTTAATTTACTTTAATCAAAATTACTAATTTTATGGGCTAAACAATTATGTAAGAGATTGTCTGATTTATCACATTGTGTTACTTTCCGCCTATAATTTTTTTTAAATGTATTAGTCTATTTCCGATTCCCTCGGGCTAGGATTTCATCTAGTGAACAATTTTCAATCCAGCTCTTCGTAGCAACTCCAGATCTCACACAGCCTGGAGCAGCTGTAATGCCAGCTTCTTTGAATAAGGTTTTAACCAATCATGCTTTTACCATCCGCGAGGCGAGTTTAGTTGCACGCCTAACTTTTATATACAAATTAAAACATTTTGCAGCACGACGTTTGTGATTAAGTAATTGTTAGGGTTACATTTTGCCTGAGAGCAAGCCTATCTTTTGAATTATTGTAAAAATTTTCTTTTGGTAAAGATTTTAGGTTGTCCCATGGATTCCACCTTATTCCTAAATAATTCATTGTTTTTTGAGAATGAAGATTGGATTTCTTGAAATTTATTTGCCATCCCAAATTCAGTAGGAATAGATCAGTCAGATTGACATGTTCGAAAAATGACAAATCGAAAAAAAAAGCTATAACAAAAATCAAATAAACTATAACCCTTGCCTGCCACTTGTGTCTTAGTGTTTGTGCTACCCAATTCGTCAATATTGAGAAAGTTTTTGGAGCTGCACTTAACCCGACTGGGAGGCAGGTCATTTTGAGCAGTGCGTGGTTGTATGTTAAACGTAGGAAGCGTCTGTGGGACTTCGCTACTTTCAAGTGGAACTTTCTGTCTGGGGGACAAGTCTATTTTGCATATCCAGTCTCGGGGTTGGAAGAAATATAGTATGCGATACGTGTTTATCAAGTGGAATGGATCGGCCAGCAAATAATTGTTTAGAGCATTGTGGTTGAATATAGGCCAGCAGACTTGTGCACTAGAAATAGAGGAACAAAACTTGGGGATGGATGAGCTACTTGTTTGTACCTGTTTGGGTGCCTCTCGTAATCCTTTGAGCATTGGGGCGCCCTCGATTATTTGAACGATCGGACCGCGAGCCTCAGTTTTGATGAGCTTCTCTCCCATAAGAGTGGCTGTCATATCGTTTATTTTACGATTGACTTTCTTCCTTCACAGTTGGTAAAATGGTGACCACCCCGCGAGGGTAGGTTTCTACAGCCATATGGTTGTGTGCATCTGGCTGATTCATGAAAAGTATATCGAATTCCACGCGATGGAATAGTTAGATTACGAATACCTGGCCCCCACGAGATTTTAGAGTAAGGTCTCGCCTCTATTGTTAGTGGCCAAAAGGCTTTTCCGGCGCCACTGACCTTTTCTTATGTTGCCGTAAACGGCCCTGTATTAAAAATATGACTTGACAACGGTGGTGTTCTATTGAAAGTAGCTTTAAAACTATGGGTCCCCAACCCGTATAGTTATAGTCTCGCATACTATTTGCAACAGTTCAGAAGAGATCATTTGGAGATCACCGTTTAAAAATAGATCTTCAACCGTACTGTTTAAATTTTCACTGTTAATATTGGTAGTATTTTTCGTGAAAGATAGAAGGTTGCGTACGCTATCCTGTAGTACCTATTTTTGTTTTAAAATACCATAGGTCAAGGCTGCATACGCTTTTTCACTATGTGCTAAGTGACGCAAGTTTTCATATGCTTTCTCCCCATCTTTGTTTCGAGGTGTATGAAACCTGGCGTGAAATTATACTACTTCTGCCTATTTTACTTCTGACCAGGATGCTTAAAAAAGTCATCGGGAGTGAAATCAATGGCTCTTTCAACTTAGTTCCAATATCATAGGTGAAGTCTACGTACTGATTATTTCATTGGCAACGCTATGGTCAAAGTTCGCCACTATCATCAGAAAAGCATGATGCATTGTCATGGCGAGGAATATCAAAATTATTAGATAAAATGCGTTTGCGCAACTCCTTCACTTCTTCAAATAGTTTTACCATGATTTGTTTTGTATGTCGGCGCTTATTTTTCTTTTGACGCTAGGGACTACTACGGCGATTGTGTCCTCTCCTTATCATTAGAAGTATTCGATGAACTACTATTGCTCGATGAAGAACTGCTGCTGATGGAACTGTTTCGAATTTGCTTGCGATTAATGCGACTTGGACCCGCTACAGTATGTGAACCAACCATACTAATTTCATGATTATCCACTACCGTAAATAATTAACTGTTCTAAAAATAAATCATCCTGCAAAAGAGAGCTATTCGAGCAGTTTATAATCTGGGCCCCAAAGATGAAAGAATTACTAAGAAATTTGTTAAAAGAAATAAAAATATTGACTGTAGCTTCTCAGTACATACAATGTACTAGCAAATGTTATGAATGTCCGTAAAAATAAGAAAGACTTTTCAAGATTTAGTAATGAGCATGATATAAATACTGGGAACAAAAATAAATTAGTTCTACCCTTAACTAGACTGCATAGAATAAGTAAATCCTATAATGAATAAACATTTTTGACTTTGACTTAATAAGATCGTAAAGAAAAGGTAAGCTACTTTATTTTGAAAATCAACTGTACTTACCTGTATCTGCATACAATCGGAATGATGAATCGGACTATTCAGAAGCCACCTTTTAAACTAAGTCTTTAATTTTTATTAAGCACGATTTCACTCAAACAAGATTTCACGTAAGCACAAGTCATTTCGACGGAAGACGAAACGCTAATGATTTAAAATTGCACATAACATTTTGTTTTTAGGAAAACCAAGTAAAGCGCAAAGTACCAGATGGCGCCACTGGATACGAAATAAAGGTCAATTGGTACAAGAATTAAAACTGGTACAAATCGATAGAAACGCATATGCTTTCTCAAATAAAAGTTTTCACTGACGGTGAATTATTTTAATGCACTATGAGGTAGGTTAGGTGATAGTGTTCAAAGATGTGTGACTAATTTATTATTTCTACTAAGATAAGAAATAAACCTAATCCATAGACGCCATGTTATTGTCTTGTGACGCTATCAAAAATGGTAACTAAAGTGGGAACTTGTGTATCTTGTATCTTGTATTAACTGATGTTTTTGCTTTCAGTCCCGAGACTATTAAAGCTTCATCTGACGCAGAACCGGTGGGCTAGCCAGAACCCACGGGTTTGGGCCCTCCGCTGTGGGTAGGGCCACGCATGTGCTCATGCGTGCGTGCGTTTAACTATGGTGTGTCATCTAAGGGCCATCGAGGTCGTGGTTCGGACCGAAACCCCGATGGCCATCGACTGTGCAATTAGCTAATCGGTGGCTGGGGGCGGTGAGAACCGCCCCGGAACGCGGGTGTACCTTGTGTACGCATTGTGTTGGTCTCGCCGTGCTCGGAGGCGAGGGCGAACTAGTGTGTTTGTTGTTGCACTAACTGTGGGTGTAGTGTTGTCCGGCGGGACCCCCGGCAGTGGGTCCGGCGTGTCTAAGTCCCAAAAGTGGGAACTGTACTGATTTTATTCCTACTAAGGATATGACATGTTAATGATACATATCGATAATTATGTAGAAAAATATCGATAATTTTTGCCCATGCCTATTATTCAGTATTTACGTATTGTTGCACACAATATTTCCAATATTTCCCTATATACAAAAGTACTCTGTGGTTGCCTATTGATCTCTTTGAGTAAAAGTGTTCTGTGGTATTGATATTTATTTATTATCTATGGTGAAAAGTAAGAGTGCTTTGCCATTTATTATGATAAATAGTTTTAAGTTTGGTTATTTGGTAGGATAATAACATTATTGAAAATCATATTAATAGATAGGCATTGTGGTATAATCAATTTCTTCGTATTATTTTCTAGGAAAAGAAAACTAACGTGTAGTTAGTTATGATATTAGCTGAAACTCTATTGTTTTCTCTGTCATTAATCGATATTAGTGCTATACTATTTTTGTTAGTCTATTTTATTATTACGTTATCAGACTTGGAATGTGATTATTTGAACGCACAAGAATGTTGTGAGAAACTTAACTATTGGTTGTTACCAAAATATATAGCTCATTCTTTTATCACTTTCTTGCTTTTACTACATGGACAGGTTATTCTGTTTTTGTTAAATTTGCCTATGTTCATATGGCTTTCTTTTGAATATTTCACAATTCCCCAAGGTAATTTGGGGGTTTATGATCCTGCAGAAATTCATAATAGAGGCCAGCTCAAAAAGCACTTGAGGGATGTTATGATCTGTATTGGATATTATTTATTATTCTTCTTTATTTATCTATACTGCTTTATATTGGCTTTATTAAAAGGAGATCCGATAAATCGTGGAAGTGAAGATCTTATTGTAACTGAAATTTAAAAACATAGTATGGATCCCATATTAGCTGGAAATTCTCCTATGATAATGTATTTCCTTGAAGAAGAGGATGGGGATGAAAATGAGGAGGATGGAGACTCTACATCAGAGAGTCTGGTAAAATGTGCTAAATTGCAATTGAAAAAAAATATTGCTGCTTGTATTGAAAGAAAAGAATTGATAAGAAATGTAAAGCCAGTAGTATGCAACAATAATTTAATAGAGAAAGTGACTTCTAATTACATAATTGCTAAGGAAATAATAAGTAATTTACCTTGGCAAGAAAAACTTGTTTGCAAGCTTGTGTGTAGCACTTGGCATTCTGCTGTTCAAGCCTTGCAAAAAGAGGAACTATCACCAGAAGATTTTCATTTGGATTTGGGATCCCTTTGGTGCCGTGTTGGTGGTAGAGGATGGTTTAAACAGTCTGGAATTTTTCAAACCGAGCCATTGGTGATTCTGACTTTTGCTAATACAGCTAGCTTTAGCGCTGTTGTTAAATGTAAATTCATGACACCCTGTCCATGTGGAAAACCTTGCAAAAAAGAACATTGTTGTAAGTTTTTTTTATCATTTTGTTACTATATACTATTTACATCATAATACATGAGTAATATTTATTTTACAGTAATAGACTTGGTAGATCATCACATCAATGCTCCAAAAAACTGTATGTTGACAGCAAAAGCGAACTACTTGGTGTATAGACCAATACCAATGTCAAACACATATCAACACTCAATAACGCAATACAAATACACTTGGATTAGTCCCTTTATTGCTGGAATATTTATACCAAAGATACCTGATGTGGGATTTCAAGTTCTAAATATTAAATCCCAGGACTGTTTACAGCAAGAGTTTTATGATGTGGTGAAAAAGTTGTCCAATGATCATATTATTAAGGGGGTCCTAGTGTATGTAACTGAGAAATATTTATTGAATTCAGTTGAAGATATTGTTTTCTTGAATTATTTCAAAGATGTGTAAGTATTAAATTACATTGCTTTTTTCTATACTGACAATGCTGAATAAATTTAATGGAAATGATGTCATATATTCTGTTTTGTTTTAATGAAGAAGAAGATGTCATATATTCTATTTTATATTTTCAGACAACCTAATGTTCCATATGCTCTTGGAGGCTGTATAGTAGAGGATACAATGTCTGAGCGTAGTGAAATTAATCTTCTAGTTGATAACATAAGTGAAGGGGCTGATTTCATAAGTGAAAACTTGCTTTCTATTGGTTTGTTCATGGTTCCAAAGACCAACAGTAGTTCCGATTATCACTTTGAAATGTACTCTTTTGTTATTGAATCATCAGAATGGACAAAACAAAAGATTCAACAAGAGGTATCAAAGGTATGTATATGATCTGAATATTTTTTTCTTTTACGGGAACCCGACACCATCTGGCAGCTTATTCTACCACCTCTCGGTGGTAGAATAAGCTGCCAGACTTTAAGGTCATCGCCCTCTCTTCGGACCTCAGATAAACCTAAAATTTTTATTTACTACTTTCATCTTCCAGTTCAACTTTCTTTTCGTCTGTCTTTAGCGTGTGCGTATTGTATGTCAACAGCGACAGCCTACGTCGGTAGTCAGTTGTGCAATAGCCTAAGGTCGTTTGACGGTAGCATCCCGCCCGGAGATTATTAGTACCCCTGGCTCCAGCGCTCTACGCCGGTCTTGCAGCCGGAGACCCCGGACCGGGCACTAGGGACTACTTTGTCCACTATTATATGGGGGGTATGGACCATAACCCGCTGCGGTGGTCTAGTGAGTGTTAGCGGGTTGCCGGGGCCTCTTTCGTTGATCAGCAGAGTGGACCCTGGGCAAGCGAGGTTGGCTCCTGAAAGATGTTGGCTGCGGACCCCTTACACCTAACACTAATTTGTTGGCATATCATTTCCTAATTTTTGTGGTGTATAAATATTTTTTTTTTCAGTTTTCAGCCAAAGTTCCACGATTTGAGCATAGTTTTGCCTTAAAACTTTCATGTGTGGGTCGAGATCAGAAGCATGCCCTAGAACAAGATAGTTTCCGCGCGGCTTTTCCCAACACACCAATAGTTGGTTGTTATGGCAACGGTGAACTTGGAGTACATCACCCTGCAAGACCAAAGACAGAATCATCTCCTAGTGCAAGTAAAAGACATAAGCATGATCCTGGACCCCAGTTCGGAATAATGTATTCATACTCAACAGTTTTTGTTTATATTGGATGGGGTAAAATAACCTCAACTAAAGGACCTCTTTAATATATGGTAGTGATACACTGTATGATATTATAAGCAATGTTTTTCTATTTCGTAAATAATCACCACTCTCTATGTATAAAATAATTTTGGATTATGCTATAATGTGTACAAGTTGTATTAATTATAATATGTATGTAGGAATTTTAATGGTGCAAATATATTCCAAATGATCATATTGTGTTGATTTTTTATACTCCCGATGCCTTTGCCTTTTCTAAAGGTGCCCAAATTCAAACAGGAGGTGTATACCCTATAAAATTATTTATGGTTAAAAGACGTTCTACGATTACAAATCTAGTGTAATTTAATTTGACTTTAGCCAAGAGCATTGACTGAAATTGCGTACCTATGGTATCTTAGGTTCTCTATTAAAATGGGTTGAGTCTTATCTATCAGACATGTTTTTTTGTTTAACTTTCACCTTATTAAATAATGGCGAAAACTTAGGTTAATAATTTGGAGTAGACATCCCTAAACACACCTCAAGAGTTTGTTTACAATAAGGACACGAACGGCACTCGCACGATATGATTGTAATTTTAAATTTGTAGAAAAAATGGACGAAAGGCTTGCCACCGATTCAATCGTTTAACTTAGTGGTAGTAGAGCGTCTGGGCGCGACTCCGGAAGACCTGGATTCGATTCCCGCAGCAGCGAAAAACTTTCGTCCTTATTTTCTACAAAGACATTAATGTTTCATTTTAAGTTCAGATCATCACTATAAAAGTTTAAATTTCAAGTAGCAATGGCGACATCTTTCGTTCGAATTATCGTTGTAAAACGATATTTGAATTTTTTTGTGTGCTGTAACGGAGATGACAATTGATGTGCAACAACAGTGCATAAAACGCAAAAAAATAATTTACATAAAATACGTTGCGACAAATATTTTTACACACTTATTGACACACATACTACACTTATTGATTTCATTAAAAACTATGAAACATGTATTGAAAAAAATAATAATTTGTGTAGTATCATCAGTTCTCAATTGTTAGTTTCTTATCAACATTATTCTAAAGTACCTGGAGGACGAGCTTTGCTCGGTTTTTTTTGGTATATCATGTATTTTGGAAATAAAAAAATGAAAAATAAAGAAAATGATCTGGTATAGAAAAAAAAGTAAAAAAAAATAAGTGTGTAAATGATCGTGATACGAACCGCGGCCGTCCTATTTGGGGCCGCCCGATTACCGACTGAGCTATTATAACATTTGAAACAACTGAACACGGGGATAAAAGGACATTTTCTAAAAATGAAACCTAGCTAGATCGATTTTTCGCCCCCGAATCTACGCACCTACTAAATTTAATGAAAATCTGCTGAGCATGATGAAAATCAGCTGGAGCCGTTTCCGAGATACAAGAATTGCTCGTTTACAGGATAAGATTGCGGTCTAAAATTCTAAATCATGGTGGGGTCAGAATCAGGTGCCCAGGCATGCACTATTGATATACGCAGCATTACTCAGACCTATAGTAACATGCGATTGTGGGTCATTGTGCAAGTACTACTACTACTACTTCCTTCCTGACCGTTATCGGTCACGGCGACCGCTTCAGCTCCGGTGTTTTAGGCGTTCATGCGCTCTAGCGTGGCTCACGTAACCAATTATGTTAGCAAATGTCCGCGCGCATAATGGACATGTGAGCACACCACTGACATAATTGTAGTTTATTGCCGCAGGTGGTCGGGCTTTCAGCTCATCCCGTCTGACGTCTAGCCCAGTACATCGACGGGACTCAAATTGAGTAGTCTCCTTTTCTACAAGAGACCTCCATTTAGAGCGGACTGCTGCGTGCTTCTCCCACTGTGACGGGTCAATACCACAGTTTTTCATATGGCGCTTAAGCACATCCTTGTACCTGAGGAGTTGTCCTCCATGCTTTCGCTTGCCCTCCTCAAGTTCTGAATAGAAGATGCGCTTAGCCACTCGACCTTCTGCCATCCTCGATACGTGTCCGCCCCAACGAAGATTGCGCTGCATAAGGTAGACCTCAATTCCACACACTTTAGCTCTCCGCAAAACTTCGGTGTCCCGTACGCGGTCGGACCAGCTGATCTTTAAAATTTTGCGGATGCATTTTAAGTGAAACCGATCTAAAGTGCGGATGTGACGACGATAATTGGTCCACGTTTCATATGAGTATAGAAGGTTTGGAAGCACGACAGCCATGTAAACAGATATCTTTGTGGCCAGTTTCAGGCTATGCGTGCGAAAGACCTTCGTATTCAGTTCACCAAAAGCCGCAGCTGCAGCACCAATCCTGCTGTTTATTTCGACATCAAGGTCGCATGTTGATGATATTGTGCTTTCCAAGTAACGAAATTTGTCGACCTGTTTTAGCACATCATCGCCAAGTTTTATAGTCAGTGTCTCCCGACCATAAATGTCCAAAGACATTACTTCCGTATTTTTGACACTGATTTTCAATCCAAACTTACAGCAGGACTGATGGAAGCCGGACACAAGTTGTTGTAGGTCTCCCGTGGATTCCGCAAGAAAGCATAAGTCGTCCGCGTACATGATTTCAGTGATCAGTTCATAAGACACTTTAGTTTTTGCTCTGAATCTGGCCAGGTTGAAGAGATTGTGCAAGTAGACTCTCACCGGCACTTACGATGACTTATTCAACAGCCTGTAAAGACTAACCTGCCTGATTATCACAGGAGTCATCTCATCCATATAGTGGGGAATTTACCAGCAGGCTAAGTAGGCTAGAGCCTAGGACGGCAGATTTGAGTGAGAGGCAAATTTGGTCCAAAATGTTTGTTTTAAGTCTTTTTAAGGTAAACCATACTCTGTCTTACAATTGAACATGGTTGAGCTTTTTTAGCTCAGAAATATTACTCAAAAACTATTTTTATTGTAATCTTCACTAAATTGTGACGTGTTGTAAAATAATCTAGAAACTGACACAACGAAACCCTAGTGATGACTAACTCAAAATCATTCTAATACCAAGAAAAAACTGATATACTGAAGACGTTAGACCACAAAACATAAAGAACAGAACTTCGTGAAACTATACGATGTTCTCATACCTGATAAGGAGTTATAGGAGACAATTTACCGTCCGCATTCAGGATAGCTTGGCTGGCTGCCTTGGCACTCAAGGGGGAAAGAAGCAAAGAAAGCCTTATCAACCGTCAACTTCGTTAGAGTTGCTGTGCTAATAAGGCCACAGTCGCGCCGGGGTTGAGATGCGTTGTTTTTAGAGGGTTCTCATTTCTGTACGGCCGGCCTTTCCGCTCTATTTTAAGGAACCATTCTACCAGTTCTCTGCAACTGAGGTCTAGTCACGAACGATGAGGAGTGGTGGCTATGATTTGTCTACTCTCTCTGCCTTTCGCGATTCGGTGTGGCTTTATTGTTGCAGCGGTGGTGAGGTCGTGGGTGGAAAGGAGAGTCGGTATTGCGATGCATCGTTCTCAAGCTGTTCCTTAGCCGTCGAAGTGTGATGAACAGCTCGGTCATACACCATATCCGCCGATGAAGGCCAGGAGGCTTTCTAATGGTTAGCAGGTTAGCATCTTTTTGCTTCCATGGTATCTGGGTAATAGACCTGCTGCCCATGCATCAATAGGAAGCTGCGTTTTATGTTTCAGCGTGCCTTACCCGAGGAAGAGGGGAGTTCTACAAGAAAAGACTTCGGCTGCCAGCGCTGGCAACCGCGTGGCTCTATGCCAATGCGTTCCTGTGGCCCTGCCGATATGCGCTCTAAGAAGTAGTAGCAATATAAACATATAACAACCTCGCGCGGTCGGGTGTAGGTCGGCATTGCCCCAACATAAATCAAACTGATATTCAGAGCAGTTTAGTCTGAATGGCTTAAGAAACATTGTAATTTTGTTGTAAAAATTATAAGTAGAAAAAGAACAAAATCATATGCTAAAGCTGAACAGTTATTTGCGCTTTTCGCGCGGAATAGAAATCGTTGTCGATCCAAAGTGGTGCATACAACGGTTTATCAAACAATAACGGCGTGTAGTGCAGATGGGTTGTGAGTTAATTTACTTTTACGGATCATTTATTTTAGGATTGCGTGCATGTCTAGTGTAACACGAGATCTTTCTTCAACATTGAGGTAAGAATAAATTTGAAGGTACAATTTAATACTTATTGCTACTTACTTATACAGTAAAACATTTTTTTTGTTTATTCAGAAAATACTTCAACAACTCTTTATCTTTTTATCTTTAAAGGGTGCTTTGTGTCGATTAAGTTTTACTTTAACAGCTTTTATGTTAGAAAAATTTTAAAATATCAAGGGTTGTACATTGGATTAATAAATTTTCCGCGTAACGAAATTTTAGATAATCTATACTTTAACTTACAAATAATTAACATATTAAACTTATTTATAAATGTACATAATAGAAATATATACCAGAATTTTACTAGAATGTAGACATTCTAATAATAAAAAAAGTATTTTAAAATATTTTATCGTGTTTTACAAAATAGAGAAGTTTATTACGGAATAATCATCATCCTCCTGCCCTTATTCCTCGGCACACGTAGGTGGGGTCGGCACAACATGTGCGTGCTACGTTTTTTGCGACTGGCCCCCTTCCTGACTCGCTCCATGGGAACAAAACACCCAGTGGGTCACACAAATACTTGGCCCGAGTGGGAATCGAACCGACGACCTCCGGAGCTGAATCCAATAGATTAGCAACTGCTCCACGGAAAGGCTCCAATGATTTTAATGACAAAAAAGTTTGAAATCATACTTATTATTGTTATTGGAACAAAGACTCTTAATATGTACAATCACTATTCTTATGCATAGCGATTTAAATATAAGAATGTTATTGTGAAAGTTCTTTGATATAATTTTATTATTGCCGGCTCATAAGCAATGTCCGAAGTCGAACTGACATCATATCTACTATCACTGAGTTCTTTGGCGACTGGTGGAGTTGTTCAGGACCCGCCAGTGGTTAGTTCTTTGTGACATGGCTCCGCGGTCGCACGTTTAACGCCAGTCGATGTGCGTCTCCCGCCAACGCAAATGCACGCGGTAGAAAGTTGCGCGAACGTGACTTTTTCTTAACAAAAAATCTTTATTTTTTATGGTGAGGTTTTTGTGCACGTTTTTTTTTTCAACTTGTAGTTTACTTATTCAATGCACAAAAAAAAAGTTTTTTTGAAATTTAGTGTAGTATTTAATTATTTGTTTTTATGGCTTTTCTTTAGACATTTCGTATCAAAGTGATATTTATTATTATAAATACGTTGATATCATTTATGTTAGGCTATTTTTAGTGGTTCAAAATAACAGTTTATTGCCAAAGTAATCTAAACTTTAATTTAATATTTTAATAAGATGAAAGAGATTGAAAGGGCCACGGTATATATTGCAGTAGATATATTTTTATGACATAACTGGTCTACAAATTACTTACGTATTTTTGTGATACAATTTTTTATCTCTAAGACAGTCAGATATTCCCGCTTTTTTGCGACAGTTTTCAAAATAGAACAGGTATACGTGCCTGAAAAACGACTCGTATATTACCGACTAGGTCTTGCCTTAACCGCGCCTATTCTTGTTTTTGCTCAACATTCACAATGCTATTTGTACTGTGTATATTCCTGTCTTCTGGCTTTTTCAAAAGATCAGTAGTTGATATTCAATTAGGTAGTGTTTACTACATGCATTTCATATCATGAACACTTGCCAGGAATTTCTTTAATTTTTTTGTATGATTTCATTAAATTATTCAGTAAAATTGGTAAAATTTGTTAAGTTTGTTGTTATGTGAAACAGCTTTATGTGAAAAACCAGCTGGCGGTTCATCTGATGTTAATTAATTACCGCCGCCCACGGACATTTGCAAAAGCAGTTGCAGATGTGTTGCCATCTTTTAATAATGTGGGCCCCGGCTACCTCACTCACCAGACGAAACGCAGAAGTGTAACACTTCTACTTTACGCCGGTCTTGACGTGAGGTTGTGGTACTAACCCGGACGGATCTGCCACATGCCTGTTGCGTGGTCCTACCACAGTAACTATTGGAATAGGTACGAGTATAGTTTATTAGAATTTCGTTGTCCCCTAAAATAGTTTAAGATGGTAAGGGAAACACACCGTATAATATATCCGCTGTAGCGTAAAATCTTGTTGCGCCATGCGCAAAACCGCAGCTATTTTGTCAAAATATAGTAAAAGGCCATCTCATTGATAATTTAGTAAAATGTTTTAATTAAAACTATTTCACTAATCTAAACAAAATAGGTACCAGCCTACAATTTATTTGAGCCCGTTATAATTTATAGTCGTTTACCGAAGTTAAATAAGTTGAATTATATAATAGGTTCACGGACGTCATTACTTTTGACAGACGTTAACTTGTATTGTGGCCGTGATTTTTTAA